CTAGAGGACAGAGTGGAACTGCCCACAGGGTCTCCAAGGCTGTCAGTCTTCACAGAAGCAAAGCCCAAACCACACCTACTGCCTGGAGTCCATTCCGACCCACAGCGCCCCTAGAGGACAGAGTGGAACTGCCCACAGGGTTCCCAAGGCTGTCAGTCTTCACAGAAGCAAAGCCCAAACCATACCCACTGCCGGGGAGTCCATTCCGACCCACAGCGCCCCTAGAGGACAGAGTGGAACTGCCCACAGGGTCTCCAAGGCTGTCAATCTTCAGGGAAGCAAAGCCCAAACCACACCCACTGCCGTGGAGTCCATTCCGACCCACAGCGCCCCTAGAGGACAGAGTGGAACTGCCCACAGGGTCTTCAAGGCTGTAAGTGTTTATGGAAGTAGACCGCTCCTGTGGAGCAGCTGGTGGGTTTGAACCCCTGACCTTCTGGTTAACAGCCGAGTGCCTTAACCACTGGACTCCAGCTACTAATTCATACTGAAGTGGGGGTGACTCTTCCTCCAGTGTACAACAGCCAAAAGATGGAAATCTTCACAGTAGATGTCCTCATCTTCCTGCACAGAGCAGCTGATGGGTTTGAACCGCCGACCTTCTAGGTTAGCAGCCAAATGCCCTACCCACCGCACCACCAGAACTCTTTGTTTTAAAAGTGAGCACCCCCCAAATGCTTCATACCTGTGCACAACTGGGTTTCTGGAGGAGCACTTTTGCTGGCTGAAGTTCAACTGACACTGTGTTCTCTCCATGTAGCTTTGCAGTGACACTGGATGTTTCTTCTGTTCATGGTAAAACTGTGTGCAGGACTTTCCTGGACCAGCAGCGGAAGTGACCTCGTGGAGGGCATACGGCAGCGATGGCTTGGGGTGGCTTTTGTTCTTTTGGCTTAAGACCAGCCACTTCTGCCAGCACTGCTGTGTCCCGAGTCTGTGACATGGTCTTGTCTCTGGGGGACTCCAGACATCAGCTACTCTTCACCTGCAAGCCTCTAAGTGCGCCTGCCTTCCAAGCTGTGTCCCTCTCCCCGCAAGGTGGTGCTTTCACAAGATGGCCACCTTTTGCCACCACTTCTGAGCCTATTTCAGTTCTCCTTGTCCTCGCCCTGACCAGCCAGGTGTACCTCACCTGGGCTGGACCCTCTTTCTCAGTGGCACCCACGGGCCTGTCATGTATGTCACTGCGAGGCCACTGTGAGCAAAGACTTTCCACTCACCATGTCCCGAGGAGCAGGAGGCCCAGCCCACATCCCTCCCTGCCAGGGCGACCGTAATCCCAGAGCAGCGGACATGCGGGACTGTGCAGCTGGGCCGATGCTGGCCTGTTATTCCCTCTAGACATCCCTTGGGGGCCGCTGTAGTGAAGCCCACTTCTCTGCACGCGCACACCTGGAGGGAGAGTGCGTGCGTGTCCCCGCCTGGGAGCGGCTGGGCAGTACAGTGGGACTCAAGTGGCTTTTATGAGAGCAGCTCTGGTGGAAAGGTAACTCAGAAATCAATGGAGGAAGACCTGTAGGCTCATAGGCAGGTCTGAAATGTGCCGCACACGTTTATTACAACTTGTACAGGCACTCCTGCGAGGCGTGGAGGTCCCGCCCTGCCAGGGCTGCGTGGTGTGTGGCTCAGAGTCTTGTTGGCTCCTCGTCTTTCTCGCTGGGACTGGCGTGGAGACAGCCCTGCAACACACAGAGGCACAACGCAGGTCAGTTAGGGTGGAGCCGAGCTGACCCCTGGAGGACCACACACAGGTACAAAGCATTTGGGGGGTGCTCACTTTCAAAATAAGGAGTTCTGGTGGTGCGGTGGGTAGGGCAGTTGGCTGCTAACCTAGAAGGTCGGCGGTTCAAACCCATCAGCTGCTCTATGCAGGAAGATGAGGCCATCTACTGTGAAGATTTCCATCTTTTTGCTGTTGTAAATAGTGCTGTGATGAACATGAGCGTGCATGTCTCTGTTCCTATCCTGGCTCTCACCTCTCTAGGATATATACCTAGTAATGGCATTGCTGGGTCAAATGGTATCTCCAATTCTAGCTTTCTAAGGAATCGCCATATTGCTTTCCACAGTGGTTGTGTCACTACACAGTCACACAAGCAGTGTATGAGAGTCCCAATCTCTCTACATCCCCACCAGCATTTGTTATTTTCTGTCTCACTGAACCTTGCCATCAGAGCTGGGGTGATACGGTATCTAATTATTGTTTTGATTCACATCTCTGATGGCCAATGATTATGAGCATCTTTTCATGTATTAGCTGACCACCTGAATATCCTCCTTGGTGAAGTGTCTATTCATGTCTTCTGTCCATTTTTCAATTGGATTGTTAATTCCTTTGGTGTTGAGGCATTGGAGTTTTCTATCAATCTTAGAGATAAGTCCCTTGCCAGATATGTAATTATCAGCCAATATGAATTTGTTG